GTGGGCATTCAGGAGGTGTCAGTGTGGTGCTACGCTCCCCTTCCTTGACGTCTTGAGATTGAATTGGTCCAAAATCCTGCAAATTGGAAAGGCAGACTAATAGGGTCAAGTGTGAAGACGCACATGGATGGGGAGAGATGGACACAAACCATTTCATTTGAATCCTCCTCACTGCTATTTGTTGTTGCCGAGCGTTGAGCTTTCAGCTGTGTCAAAAGCAGTCGGACATCCCGCATCAATGCCGAATCTTCTGAATCTTTTGACGTAGTGAGCTCCTCTTTTCCTCCGTCCGTCTCACTGATTTCATCCTCTGAGAGAATCGCTGTGAAGGACAGCTGTGAGGTCTTCATTTCCACATTATTTGGCATTTCTTGAGAGTCTTCTGCTTTTGAACTACACTGCTCCTTAAAGTCTAGGCGCACCAAACTCATTGATCGAATGTTGGGCAATGAGAACCATCTTCTTGATTGCAATTCGGCACATTTTGGGCTGTGAAAAGCCAATTCTGTAGCGCTGGAGAAAGGTGGATATGCTTCAGTGGAAATGTCGGGAATCGAGTGGATAGTGAGTGCTATTGGGGGTCGTCGTTGTACTATTCGGTATCGTTCAGTCAGCCAGGATGGTAGAAACATCAATCGAAGGGATCTGCTAGTCGAGCAGAACTTGCGTCCTCCCTCAACGGGATGACATTCATGCTGCGTTAAACCATGAAGAAGGTACTGATTGCAGAGGTTAGTGTGGATTGCTTTCAAATCTGAATCCGGAAATCCAAGCTCAGCAGAATGACGAAGAAAGTCATCCACCAAGGGGAAGAAGCGTGTCGAAGTGGGATCTTCATGAAATGTAGACTTGACACATCTCTCAAGTAGAAACTCTCGGACACTAAACCAACCGGCTTGGAGGGAGTGCTTGACGGTTTTTAGATGTCGTTCCGACAAGATACCGCTATTTTGAAGGCCTTCCAAGTCCTCAGCAATTTCGTTCATCTTATAGACGCATCTTTCCACCACGGAGAGCGTGTCAGTATCAGCAGAGTTCTTCCATGCAGTTTGTAATTTTGGAAGCACATTTAGTTCCAGGTGACGTTCAACCTCACACAACCAGGAGGAAACTGTCGCAAGTCTCTCTGTAGCCTCAAAGAAGACTTTCGAAGCAACAGTCTCACCCCAGATGGCTTTAATCAACTCAAAGGATGATTTTATATCCTTGCTTCCACTGTCATCCAATTTGACGCGTCTTTGAAGACTATTGAACTGATTCACGATACTCATATCACGATGCCATTCTTGTCGCAAATTTACCAACGCAATTTCACTAGAAATTGCCTCCTGTGTGTTTGAGGTAAGAACCCCGACGGGAATCTGCATTGTGCGATCATGAAAGTCGGAGCAAAGAAGGCTGTAGAAGGTGTGAAGGTCATGCAATAGGCCGTTATCCTAACAGAGTGCAAAGATATCTTTACTTTTTATGTCACGTTTTGCAGTGCTCTGAAACAACACATACCTTGAAGTGATTTTCATGCTTATTACTTTTTTTACCACGGCAACCAGGATAGAGGCATTCATGAGATCCAAGAATTTCCAATAGACTCCAGCTGCGTTTTCGTGCCATTGAAGCGCTAGAAAAACCATCTAAATGAATGTCGCCAGTCGAGACCATCGGTGAATGGGTCGTCGTCGTTTCATACTGCAACATGTAGGTAAGAAGACGCTGTGCTTGGAACAGATCAACTTCGGCGGGGTCCACCAATAAATAAGTACAAGACTTACGTTTATCAGAGGCTCATTTAGAGGGAGACTATAAAGGAGCAAAACACCAACACTGAAAGATCTACGCATACCGTTACCTGATTTATGCCGCATTAGTCTTACCCAGCTTGCAGACGACCTAATTTGTCGGCGATTGATTGAAGTTGTTGCCAAGACTCAAGAATTTGGCAGCCAATTTCACTGGCTTCGTAGTCACTTACCAACTTCACTGCTCTTTTGTACAACTCATTGACGTCAAGATGTTTGGATGGAGTCACTTTGGGAGATGGCCTTGAGTCCGCAACTAGACAGGTGAACAAAATTCTCGCTGTCTGTCTCAAGGCTTGCAGGCTTTCCTCCAAATGTGTCACACTTTGACTGCAATCCTACATTAGATTGAACAATAATAATGTTTACTTGTAAAATTTAAGTAAACGTGTCTGTGAAATTAAAGAATCACGTACGTCAAGAGCACCGGGTGAAGGTCTACCCTGAGCCAGTTGGATTATCCGGCTGTCGAGATGTCGAAGATCTTTCCTTATGGTGCGCAGAGAGGGAAGAGTCAGATCGTTTAGTTGGTGTCCCAATTGACTTACGTAGACAAGGCTGAAAGATGGAAGATGATGTTAACGACGATAAAAATGATGCGAATAAAATTGTTTTACAGATTTATTACAAAAGATCATGCAGATGAAGGCAAGCTTGCCAAACGTCTTTGTTGTCCGTGCTAAAATCATCTTGAATTCCATGGAAAAGCCTGTTTGTTTCTTCAATAGCCACCTGAAGTTTCGCCAGTGATCCATCAATATCCTTTGTGGAGAAAGAGATTAGTTCATGAATGGGTTAATAAAGCCACGAGAGGTCACTAAGTGGAAGCGCAGATACTGGATTTAAAAGGCGTAAAAAATACAGGGCTCCTGAGATTTGCTTGTGTTCAACCAGACTCCCAGTACAGTTGTGTTACTAAACACGCCCATCTCATTTCCTCATAAATATCTGTTAGAGCGATTTGTGTTACTCTCATCATCACCAATAATGACGCAAAGGATCTGACAAATGAGTCTTCGCAGAAGTGATTAGCTACCAACCAAATGACCGGAATTTTTACTGTCAGATGTGCGTCTAACGCTCTCTGAAACCTCTATACAAATTAGTTAAAAGTCTGAGTACCATAGTAATCTTGCCAGCCATCTGAGATCTAACATATAGCATCTACATTTTACCGTTGCTATTTCAGGCCGCCTTAATTAGAAGTATACTCGTGTCATCAAAAGTACCAATGGAAGTCAGTTTGCGCTTACTAGTATACATGGCAGTATTTGGAGGAGCGGTCTCTATCCCACTCTATCCCTATATAGCAGTTTCACTTTCCATACCTTTGTTTCTACCTTTGGAAGTCCTTCTTCTGCAAAACCGAAACTTTCCTTTGCAAGACAGCGTGCAACAGTTTTTCTGAAATCAAGAGCGCAAGTGCGCCAATCAGCTAGCGACAATTTGTCCCTGCGTGATTGGTCACTTGCAACTAACTTCAGCAATACCTCCGGCCAATAGGAAAAAAGGACACGATCAATGAAGAGGCGCGAACATTTTGAAGTTGCCATATAATGATGGCCAATTTTAACAAGAATTTCGGATATATGAAGGCACTCCTATGAAATACAAAAATACTCGTCATTAATTTTATAAAAACTGGCCGAACGCTAAGGTGCAAACTTACTGCTGCTTTAACACCATCACAAATCCCGTTTTGCTTATCTCGAAGCTGGCTAATTTGTTCGGCAAGATTCTTCATCAAAGTGTAGAAGACTCCTTCGTGAAAATTTGAGTTGTGTTTTGCGTTGACCTGTTAGAAAATGACTGCTTCACTTTAAATCAGTAGACGCTTTATTTGGTCACAAGTAGAGCATTGATGTTAATTTACTCACATCTGATTGGTTGACCGCCATTTTCAGATATTTCTCCTCTAATACGCTACTCTTCAGGTCAGTGAAGCTTTCTGCTCTCGTGACAATGTAGTTGAGCCTCGTAACGCCTTCTAAAATTTCCACTCTTTCTCGTGAACCCATTAGAAGTCCAAGAAGGGTTTTTTTCTGCTCTCGTGAGGATCGTTCCATGCCCTCTAGTAAGTTCAGCAACCTCTAAAGCACAAAAGTACGCATATGGGCACCGACAATGCAAACTGAAAAGGCGAAAAAAAAAGTTCCTCTCTAAATTACCCTTCTTTTGGATGGTTCAATCTCCTCCAATATCTTTTGGATGCTGACCATCCAAGACTTTTCCATATTACATGTTGCCGTTCCACCAATCTCATGAACCAGGTCACGCTGACTTTGAAGCCTTGACTCATCCAATAGCCATTCAAGATTAAGTAGATCGTGAAGGAGCATGCAGGATTGGCTGTAAATTGCCGACTTTTCGAGTCTGTACTGACAACACGTCTTGCGAAAGCCGATGAGTGAAGAGTGGAAGTTCGTGAGCCATATAAGAAGCTGTGACAAAATATCTGGGGCATTTGAGAAATTTGCAGAATGGACATTCTTAAGCTCCTGAGAAATCACATCTGTGGCGAAACTGACGGCTTCAATCACGCCTTGCGTTGCTGTGTCATGTTGATCCTAGAAGGACCAAAAACTAGGATTGAGTAGTGAATTGTAGTTTTAATCCTAACTCATGCGTGATGATGACCTGATACTTGTTTGGATGTGCTCTTTTTCTTTCCTTCTTTGTTTTGTTTACCGTAAAGGACTGCGAACTCACCGAATCTTCAACAAGTATAATGCCTTTTCTCCACTCAGACAACTCCCGAAGAAGGACTTCCAGAGCTTGAAAACACTTCGTGAGACCCTCTAGAGCTCTCGAATACGCCAATCTTAGAGTCTCAAGCCGTTGAGATGGATGAAAGTTGGTGAGGAATGTCATGCGCTCCAGAAGTTGAGCCGCAGATTTGAGACGAAGTATAACTTCCGAGAGAACAAGCAATGCACCTCGAAGGCTGGAAGCTTCAACATTGCAGGGTATGCAATTAATTGACAATTGTGAAAGAAATTCTTCCATTTCGGATACACGAAGGTGCAAGAGGGCTGTGTCTTGAAGACTAGTGGAGACCTTCTGTTCAAGTTGGCAAACGAGTTCATCTACTTGACTGCCCGAGGATGACATGGTCTGCAGGTACCAGCCAATCAAAAGTGCTTCGAAGAAAGCAGATGAGGATGGTAGGTTGGCTGCTGACGTTAGGCTGAAATGAAGTTGAATAAAAAGTTGTTGGACATCCAAAGGTGCGCCATGGTGTATTTGACACCTTCACCGTTAGCAATATGTCAGATGAAAAGGTAGCCAACCTATAACTTCTTAAATAATCCCTCATTTCTCCCATAAATTTCGAACTGTGTCTGCAGTTCTCCACACTCTACTCCTATGCCTTGTTTTTTGGAGCAAAATAAATGATAATGCGGATATTTGGCTCCCACTCTTTGGTAGTTGCTTGAGAAGACCATCTCTGCTGGCGAACACTCATTGTTCACATTTTAAACAGTGTAGTTGACATTGAAGAGGAAATTATGTGCACCTCTCACAGTTGTTTTGAGATCAATCAATCTGCTTACGGCACGCAACCTGATGCAATTACTTTTCACTTAACTCGGAAGAATCGCATGCCAAATTGATTTGATACTGGTAGCGAAAAGAACCATTTAAGTAACGTACTATTCGAGCCGTTCCAGCTTCTCAGAACATTGTGGCTCTTGAAGTGCTTGAACTCCATTCACGACTTTCCTTGCAGCCGATATGTGCTCCAAAAGGCTTCTAACCACCAAGCTCACGAATGTATGGTTTTCTTTATCGTTTGATAGTAATTCCATCACACACTCAGCTTCGCAACGGTCCAACTCCTGATCCAGTTGACTTATTTGACATTGGCTTAATTTATCGTCTGTAGCACGCTCGAGAATGTCTGCCAAAATGCAAAACCGTGCGCATATAATCATGTCATTCAAAATTCGACAGTCTATTCAATGCCTTACTGGTTAGCCTGACCGCCAGGGTGAACAGACCCGAGTGTTCACACACTAATGAAGTGTGCATTTCCATCTGTTTGTAGATCTCAAACGCACGATTATGAATGGCTTTTAAATCAGTAATAAGGTCCTGAGAGATATTGAGGCGTTGCTGAATCTCTTCACTCAAAATGCACGGAATCCATGCACAGGAGCTCTGTGTAAGTTGAATGAATTCAAAACAGTAGAAACTGGATAACATTCAAAGGAAAGGGGCGTAAAATAGCAGATACCTTCAAAACTGCCATATTCTCCATAAGGTTTGATTTAATGTGCTGGAGGGTTTGTAGTGGAAACGAGGACTTTTTGAGTTGAGTAGTCACTGCTGTGGAATGGAATGTCAAATATGCTTTCATTGATTCGGCAAAGGCTGTCAAAACGCCCTCAGCCCTTAAGCTGACCTCGTGACAGGATTCGGCCTTTTCCAACTAAAGAACATGAAATGTGCAAAATATACGAGCCAATACTAGGATGCACCACGACTCTACTAAAAAAATCGGATGAAAAAATGAAGGTTCAATGTTCAGCTTGAAAAGCTGTAGATCAGAAAGTTGTAAGGAGTTAACGATAATAATGGATGCTCCAAATAAGTAGTAGATTTCAGAAGTATTTCTGTGTGCCTATCTAAAAGCTCCTACGCCTTCTTTCTTTACGATCAATTTGTGTGATTGTGTCATGTTGCCGAGACGTATTTCTACAAAATGAGGAAATCGTCACTATCGAGCCCAACTAGCATGAATCACAAGCCACTTGAAGAACGCGTGCGATTACACAGTTAAAGGCCCACTCTAAACCTTACCTTGCTGCGTATTTCACTTTCAAGGCTTTCTCTCACACAAAGATCAACTTTTGAGATCAATGCCTCAAGGTTGACTGTTGGTTTGGCCTTGCTAACAAAGGTCTGGATCGCAGATTGGATGCATACCAGTTGGTTGAGTATATGACGTGGCTGTGGAGGCGGGGCATTGCCCTCCTCCACCTGGCTCCTATTCACCCAGGCTGTTATCTCAGGCAATTTCTGATCAACGAGGCGTAGGATGCACAACTCATCCCGTCTTCTGTGCAAGTTCACCTATGAAACAATGAGCAAGAGGTGCGAGTGGGTGGTTAGACTGCGCGACGCAGTTCAACCTAAGTTGAACGTCAATTAATGCGTTAGTCGTCACGCCTCGTGGATACGCATAGGCGTGCACCCTACCTATGGGACACACTTTAAATAAATCGAGATTAAACTCACTCACTCACTGACTGTGTGTGTGTGTGTGTGTGTGTGTGTGGGTGAGTGAGTGTGCTAATCTGTAAACCTAAAGGAACCGCAAAATCAATGTCAACCACACCATTCTCCAGGTGACACAAGAACCAACGTGTTCTCCTTCGCATGTGTACGCAGACTGATTTCTTCTTATCGTGTTTGGGCATGTTGATTCACCCTCCCTTTGCCATTATCACCACCGCTTCAGTTAACTCACCATTTCACCGATTTCCAAGAGGCTGGTGAGGATTTCAAGCAATTTCTCCAGCAACGACAAGGATGCATTCGATTCGTGGGTTCGAAGATCCTACGAGTTGCAAGGATAGAAGATAAAAAAGAGGGAATACTAAATTGCTAAAGTGTCAAAAAGAGATTATTAGTCGGTATCAAAAAAGGGAAGTGATGAAGAAACAAAATGTTGCCATTACCTCTTACCGTCTTAACTGTCATCGCTCTGACAATTTCCTTGTAAGGTCTCAAACCAGGTCCCCAAGTGGAACGCCAAAAAAAAAAAAATCCATGCGAGATCCGAATCTCCCCATGGATACTCAAAGTAGAGCCACATTTGGTGAATCGCTATGATCCTTAAATAGCGTAACCCTTTGACCCAGTCCCGTCTATTTTGAATGACCTAGAATGGGTCCAGTCGTCAGCTGGCACATAGTGACCTACACCCAAGCTGCGATGTCACGGGACAGGAGAAAGTCAGGCACAGGCGGTTATGTCATGCCAGCATAAAGAAAAATAAGTCCGTAGACGATTATGCGACTCTACCTCCTCACAACTCTGCATTTCGGCCAGCTGCATCGCTATTCTGCACCGTTGGGCTTCTACGTTTGCATCACGATCAACACATCTGTCAGAGGGATTTTGAATCGTCCAGATGACTCGACCAAGAAAGTCCTCAATTTCCACCAGAGTTTCTGACAGTTTGGTATCTCGTTTCGTCGCCTCTTCGTCCATCATAGAGGCTGGGAATGTTAATTCCTCGTCAACCTCCTCTCCCTCCTCGCTCCCAGACACCACTTCCTTCTTCCCCATTTCCGATCTTGCGCCCTACAAAGGGGAGGGCGACAAAAGGGTTTGAATATGTGAAAGGCATTACAGTGAATATCCTTGGAATCCATAACCATCGAGCCTGATTAATGTCCAAAAAAAATTGATAAGTAAATGTCCAAGCATCGTAAGCTTGACACCAAACACCCATCTCAAGTCCGAGATTGCGACTTTATGCGCATGCAACATTTTTCGAATGCAGCATTCATGCCATTGCAATTCCATTTTCCTTTCACAGCCCATTCAATCGTCAATTTGGCTTGTGCAACAAAAACCTTAACGCCTCTACAGCACCCAAGCCGACTCACAGCACCTCGTAGTGCGAGGACAACGGTTTGCAAGAAAGTGAGTTTGTAAGCTGGAAGAGGCATTTCACTCTAGGCACCCCAGCTGACTTCGCATTTTGGAAAACCTTTGATAGCAGTCGACATTTTACACAAGCAATGGACTCCAACACGCCTTCACACTCTCCACAATACAACTAAAAGTGATTTTCAAAAATATTTCAGAATCTTTTGAAGTTTGCACAACAATGACAACTGAAGGTCGCTGCCATGACTACAGGCTCTTAGGCATGGAGGTTGAGATGTTCCATGGAGTGCAGAGATTTTGTGACAAAAATAGGTTCTCTTTGGCGCTAAGGTGTTCTTTCGGTGAACACTGAGCAACATCCTCCTCCTCGAGTATGCGAAAGCAAATAGCCCAACTGTCAATTTTCATTGTCAAGTTAACATCTTTTTTCAATCCACGACCACTTGGTCAGTCATTTGTGATGTATTTTGCAGTGTAAGCAATAATGTAAGCCCTTGCTCATCGAATTCGCATACTGAGACGGCTTCGCTTCTGTTGGGTGTGCTTTAAAACAGGTGCGCGTGGATGGCAATTGTAAGGATGAGTGTTGAGGGCGCCGTGAAATCACAAAGCGAGTGGATTAGAACATGGATGCGTTAGGTGGCAGTCACCCTCCTCCACTTTTTGATAAAACGGCTCAAAAAAGCAAGTCGTCGTTTGTTTTCGACAGACACGCATAGGTGAATTCACCACTCAAACACTACGGGTGTGAAGTTCACCGACTACTTAATGCACAGACATGCCAACTGTCGAGTCGAACACTTTGCGCCCGCCATTCCATTGCCTCTCGATGCTTGTATGACTCTTAAGCTCCAGTTAATGCAATAATGCCACGACTTTTGCAACAATTCGAGAAAAAAAAATAGAAGGCGAAAGTATTTTTTAAAAAAAAGGATGAAAAAGTGACTGGACGCATCGCCTTAAGAACGCTCCCTAACAAGATGTCACCATGAAGGGTATTTGATTTTACGGAAGCCCGAAAGGGTTGGGAAATGGATAGGAAGGGCCACGCATAGTTTAGTTGGCAGGATTCTTGGAAAAAAAAAACAGTGTGCATTGCACAACCTGCTGAAAATCCTTCTGTGCCAAGCACAAACATTTGCATACACGCACATGCACACGCACACAATCAGCTGATTGTGACGATGTCAGAAGGACCAATCCGATGTGGTGCCAACTTCTCTCTGACCTCGAACTTATGGTTCGAGAAGCTGTGGTGTATCTCTTACGGTCATGTTTAATTAAAATACAGCAAGGGGAGTGCCAGAGCAAGTGACTATCGGTGGACCAGTCCTATCCCGTCGCCTGAGGTGTCATGAGGCTGATGGATGGTACGCAGCTCCACCGAAACCTCAAACCACTGACAGATTTAATTTTAGCATTCTGTGGGTTTAATTTTGGCGCAAAGAATTGCATCGTGTAGGTTCGCCTTGTGGGAGAAAACTGCGAAATCAGTGCCAACACTTCACATCACCAACTAACCAAACAGCAATAATTCTAGTGATTGAAGGACAAAAGGCGCAAATCCTAAAATTCGCGTTTTAATTACCATGTAAATAGTAATAAACATCACCGTACTTGCTGTTATGCCTTTTGGAGAACCCGCAAACTATCGATTTCCTTCGATGACACTTTGAACAACCACACACTGCCGCCGTGTTTGTTTACTCCGCATTGACGCCTCTTGCCATGCATTTGCAAAACAAAACACCAATTTTAGGCATCCTATCGCCTCTGTCACTACCCAAAAGTGAGGGACATTGAATTAAAATGACTCTGGGAGAGAGGGGGATTGAGAAGGTTAACTTTATCCGTAAGGTTTGGAAGGATGCGCTTCGTGTTTCCCCTTCCCGTCATTAGTCTCCATCGCTTCCTTGACTGTCCTGAAAGCTCCTCTTTTCGGTGACCTTCCATGCCACATAGCAAGATAGGCGATTCAGCAATCCTCCATGCCCTTTAACTAGCCTTCTTTTGCCTGTTTATTCCAACCACATCTCGAGTTCCTTTCCGTTTTCTCCGCACCAAAGAGAATATCCGCAATTCAGGTTTGGTCCTAATCTAATATAGGGTATAATTCACTTTTAAAACGCTGTGTGGTGGTAATGCTTCCAAAAATGCCTTCCAACAGTTTCTTGCCAATGCCTTCAATTGCGGACAGGCGGTGCTTTTCCATTATCCGCACCACTATACTCAAAAGTTCTAATTATTTAACTGTAAGTCGTATCACATACGATACTTTTTGTGTGAAGTCAGAAAAAAGTTGTATTAGTAAAAGTGGGTATCTGATGTGTCGTTAATTTTTTCCATGACAAAATTGGCATGGGTCACTTACCTTAAGGGTAGAGTAGGTCTGACACGTGGGAGTGGAGTCGAGGTGACAGGAGTAGAGTTCGTTGGTCTGAGGATTGACGACAATGAGTTTGCCAGATGGCAAGGAAGGCTCACACATTGTGGTCCTTTCACTTTTCACATGGTGAGATAGGAGAACTGCGATATCATCGCGGTTAGAGAAATCAACAGGGATTAGGAAACATCTTTTTGTGACTGCTTGTGGATGTGAACGGGATACTTCAAGACCCGACAGCCAACCCCAAATATGACTTCCCAGGATGGGTTGGGTGGGTCTACTGTTATCTGCAATCTCCTGAATACCGTTGGGTGCTACCATTATAACCAACTGATTCACATCAATCCAGAAGATCATAGAATCGTATTCCGAAGCGCGAGTTTCTATGCAGACAATTTGATCCTCCTCTGAGGGAGTTATGCGGATCCCTTGAATTAGGCAATCTGCGCCCCAATGGAGGATATTCAGTCGTCCCAGCAATTGCGTGTTCTTAGGTAACAGGGAAGATTTCCCACAGACAACCTCCACATCTGCAGGAAGGCTAATCCAAATGTGCTTTTGAAGGAATGGTTTGGAAAGCTCGAATCTCCACCATTGAAGTGTGGGAATGGTCTGTGAAAGAGACGCCAGACAGTGTTCCACGTCCGACGGTTGTAACATTGATGGGATAAAGATAAATTCCTTTGTACTTCTTTTCTGTAGACACTTCCAATGTCGACTCTGTTAGTTATGCGTTTGGTGATGTGCGCGTGCTAGCGCGCATGCACGGCTCGTGTGTAAAACGCGCGCAGCGTTGCCGTGGCAGCACAGCGTGGAGATCCTATTAGCCATCCGATTGGTTACAACGCCTATCGTGTAAATAACCGGCCGTTGCGCTTGCGTTCAATAACTGACGCGATCGCGGCTCCCTGATTGGTCCGCCGCTCGGCAGGTGGACTTAACCGATAGGATGTCCTCCTTTAGAAAGCAAAACCAAGCCTTTTGGCCAGTGGAGTGGTCACACAAAGGTGTTTCACGTGACACCCGCACCACACAAAAAGCCTGTACTTTAAACGTTCAACCTTGAAACACATAAACACAAATCATCAAGGCACCCGAAAAAAGGTTACTATTTTTTACAATTTTTGTACTTAAAAAAGTGGGAGTAAATCCGTACTATAGAAATGAGTACGGAGCAATCTCGATTGCTCGGAAGTGAAACCGTTTGTACTGTTCAATGAAAGTCAATAATCAGGTGAGGTGATGGCGACGTTGTGGCCGATGACACAACAGCAATGCGATGTCAGCTGATTTGGCTCAGATGCCATGCCAAAGAGGCATAACAATCATTTGACATTGTAGGAAGCTATCTCATTGGCTCCTTAAAGTGGCGATATGACAAACTGTAGAGAAAAGTGATAGGCAGATAACATGGCTCTGCTTGCTAAGGTGTACCTGTTTTTCAGACCAACTTTCTCAACGTTGAAGTAACTAATAACCGTCAGCTGAGCCTGACTTGACTGACTTACTCTCATTGGCTTTATAAGGTAGCTAAAATTTTTTTAGGACGAATGGATTTTAGCATCCCTACGGTTAATCTCAACTTGACTATCATTGTATTCGAGTGCTGACAGCCAAAAACATTTTCCTTACCAATTTTTACCATGGAAAAAAGAAGTAAGTGAGGAGATAACCTGTGACGCCTAGCCTTTTCCAAAGGGTCATTTCTGTGCTACCTAAGACAATGCATCATATGTCTACTAGCAAAATAAAAGTAGCATGCCAAAGTAGTCAATGGAGAGGATCTCGGAACGGAATAAGTGAGCAAGTTAACAAATATAAACGCATAACATTATGGATGCAAATGAACGTCAGCATGCTTTAGTTCCCCGTTTTTCATAAATTTGCTAATGCCGTTTAATTGTCTTCTGCGCCCCTGACTAAAAACACTCGATTTGCCATAATTAAGTATTAATTTGCTAGAAAGTGAGATTTCAATTTGTTTTGAACCATTTCGTAAATAAAAGACAACAGTGGCCAATCAAATTGCATCCATCCTGCTTTGCACCTTAATGGTTTTTAGACGAGGACGCTGTGGGAAAGCGCAGTCTTAAGCAAAGAGAGCCCATAGAACGAGATGCATGACGGTCATTGAAGTATTCCTGAACTTACAAGCAACAGCTGGAATCAAAGCTCAAAAAGAGAAGTTGAAGTTGAGTAGATGTGAACGGGTCGATTGGATACAAAATGGACTGCTATGGGAGGATAAGGATACCGAAAGGAGTGGGTGACACAATTTTCGAAACTAACAACCATTTTGATTGTTTTACCTCACAGTCCAAATGAATGGTAAAGCGTTCATTTAAAAGCATGTGTTAACTAGCTAGGAATACTGACGTTGCTACCATCTGCATCAATCCTACAATAAAGATAAATACGATCGTCACTGTTGACCCGCATACTCTCACCATCCCAACCAATCCGCTTATCGCATACCGATTTAATACAAATACCGACCTGACAATCTGGTGACAAAAAACACACCTCTGCCACATCGCACAATCACGAGGTTGGAGATTCAATTAAATAGCTGACCGCCTGCCTTTGATTCACTTCATGTCAAGCTCTACAGTGCATTTGACTTTGGAGGTATTTTTGACGATTCTTCGACCGGTAGCGGTTTGAGCGGATTTCAAACCTTAGCTTTGCTCTCACAACCAAATGTCAGCCCTGTTTAATTGGAGGTTAACATGCGACCTGAGACCTTTTTCCCTTCCTTTCATAGATGATGATAAGTTGAATCTTCAAGTTCAGCAGCGAAAGCAAGGAGAACACCTCCTCCGACTCGTTTCGCCGCCTTGACTTGCTCATTTTGAGATTGAAAGCATTCAAGGCTTATTCGCGTCAAAAGGCATCTATCCAACAGTCGACAGACATGAAGGTTTCGTTGCGTTTTCTGTATTTGCAACCGACACGCAGCTGTTGATGCAGATAACAGCCAAAACTACACATGGTGATATGTTCTAAGCTGAATGTTAACCTTCCGGTAATATCGGTTCACTTTGGTGAGCACTACGAAGGAGGAGGAAATTCAAATCATTGTCGCTTACTAATGGGCAGCACAAGATTACAATCGTCATTTGCACGCGATGTCGCCGCATTCTTATCGCTCGCAAGTAACCAGTAGGTCAGTCAAAGTCGGCAGTTAGACCGTAGTTCCCATTTATGAAGTTAACAACAAAAATATTAACGTCTCTTACCAATCCCCCTCGGAGGGCTAACTCGAGCACTGCAAACCTAATCAAGCGAGAGCTGTTCCAATGTATCCCATTATCCTCAGTCCTGTTTCTACCGCAAATAAATCCTCCAAAAGCTATTCACAGAGGTGAAAAGTCACAGCACATTCTCTATCCTTTGAACGAGCCACCCACAACAAACAATTGAAAACGAAATCAGAGGCATAAAAGAATCACATTCAATCAGGGACAACTTGGAAGGCAAGTAAAAGGATAAAAAAACACATACTTTACACAAAACACTGCAAAACCAACAACATTTCCAATGTTAAACGGATGAATAATCCAAGAAAGGAATGCTTACGAGGTAAGATAGAAAATAAGATAAGGCGAAATAACTAGTCGGAACGGTTCAGGTCCGAATGGCGGCCACCTGACCGTCAGGATTTGTCGCCTTTCTACGAAGTCGGTAGGCGGAAAGAGGTGTAGCGTCCAGAGTTGAGGCCATGTGACGCAGTACCGTGAAATAGGATACCAGTCCAACCAGTAAACAAAATCCAACTTCAATGTAAAAGCCGTCCACGATGGTTCGACACGTACCTCCCACCATCTGGCAGGCTTCCACGCCAGGGAGATTCTTGCAGGTGGCGTTGGATAATAGGAAGTCTTCTGCGAGGTGTTGCATATCTTCTCGTGTTGTATGATTGTTAGCTGACATTACAACAGCCATCGCCTCCTTCATTGATGCGTTGTCACAAGAACGCCGCGTCAGAGGATCCACAAGGAAGAGCATCAGAGTGGACGGCAGAGCAACAGCTAGAGGGAAGCGAAAATCCATCATACGAAGTCAGTTTAAGTATGGCCAATGTGAGGCAAGTGAGAGAGTGCCGTACCCAAACGCAGCAATCAATTGTGCAGGCAAGATTAAAACAACAAGTGAATTAAGTGCAGAACAACCCTGATGCAAACATTGCATTCATCAATGAGACCCACGAAACACCAATGGCTGTGTTTACATCATAAGAAGGCAATTTAAAGTTATGAATGATGGTGCCAAGAGAGGGAAGTTTATGGGTGGGAGTAACCACTAAACGTTTCACAAGTAAAATAATATTATACAAATGACGACAGGAAAGGTCATTGTCATTGCAAAGGCAGCACTGACTCCCATAGGCTCGCATTGAGGTATTTGCATGAATATTGCAAAAGTCAAATGGAGGCTCTTAGTTTGCCAGTGCCAACGAAAATATAGCCTGCTTTCTCACATAGTTTTCCAAACGCCATGTGTCCTCAAAGTTTTCGCATGCAAGAGAACCTGGCAGCACGCCCCCTTCCCCCAACGCATTCTAATGTAGATGGCTCGGGCTCCACATTCAAATGTCTGTATACGAAACGTGATTCAATGATCATCTTGCACTCATCGTTCCTGTGACATGAATATCCATCATCCATAACAGCCTGCTGCACTACAAGTTGTGTTCTACTTAAAAGCTCCATGCGTTGGAATGTTAAGCCATAGAAGTGGACTAAGAACAGTGGGTTAAGACGCATTTCGCCATTTTTCCCATCTTACTCTGGCCGGAAATGGCGCCGCCTTCTTTGTTCTCTATTCCAGAGCTGGAAAGTGCTTGTTGCTGACAACATGAGATGCCACCACCAAGGTGGCACTGCATGGTGTACACTAACTTAAAAGAACGTAGAAAAAGTCATCCAAGGCAGGTGAGCCAGAGACAGAACGCTGATGTCAAGGTCAAAATTCAGGAGTCACACAAACGAATTGTAGAGCCTAGCACTGAAAGACGCACCAAGATTCGCAGCAGTGTTGAGAAGCGTCATATAGGTCCCACCAATAGATGGATCTGCAACGCGAGCGTGGAAAGCCATCTGACAGACGAACATCGTGTCCGCAAAGACCGCATAAACGATAAACTGAGTTACTAGAATGATGTAAAAACTGGTAGAGAAGGAAGAAGTGGTGGTTGTGGGGTCCCTGAGATGACTCAGTGTCTCGATGGGGGTAACTCTGAAGTAGTCTACAAAGTGTACGATCACAACGGCCGATAGCGAGATCAAAGCCCTACAAGACAACAGAATAGGAAATAAATGAGATATTCAACATCTTGAACAGACTGACATCGTACCTGGGTACCGCGGCGTCGAGAAAGACGCCTAGAGGACGCGGACCATTGCTCCAATATGTAACGCAAAGCGGCAGAAGGGCTTGCACAGGCAACACTGCAGAACCAATCAGTGCCATTCGCTCCTTCGACACGCCATGTTCCAACATCTTCAAGCCAAAGATGCTATCCGACGCTGAGAAGACGAACTAAGGGAAGAAGAACCCAGTAACTTCCAATGGTTAGAAACCGACTATTCGTATTTAGATAGCTATCGCTTTGGTTAATTGCTAGTGGGGTTGTAAATGATCGCCTGATCGGCCCCCCTACATTCCGCTACATAAGCAAACCAAGGTGTATGAGCACAGAGGGTTGCAAAACATGTGAAGAAACGATGTCAATGGTAGTAAGCGTATCTTACAAACAAAAAAGGCGCATAGATGATAAACGCTTATAATTCAAAAACACAGTTTGTGCGCGCGGTAAAAACACAGAGTTTTGCAATTAAGCCAAGGCGGAGTTGTGAAATGCCCTAAACAGCAATCCCCTCCAATGCAATGATACAGCAGCGATTTAATCCTACACCTGAGTCTTCAGCGCCTGCAACTTTTGGTTGGCAAAATTCCAGTCCATAATTGTCTACTTAGATGCCTGTTTGCTACGAAACTGGTGTTAATCGACAGAGTTGATGTCAGGCACAAAGGCTGTGAGAAGTGCTTGTGATTAGTGGAATGATTCATGAAGAAAGCGCAAATGGAAACCTGCTGGCTGTCAGTGGTTATGCAGGACACAGACTAGAATACAGGTACGAATAATTTGGTTGTGAAGTTCTAGCATTCCAACTGTGTCATAACTTAGCCTTATGCGCATTAACTTGGACCATTTCCACTTACAAATTGGTGGCAATCCTTTGAATGACTTCAACAGGGACGTCTTTAGTAATCGTGCTGCGACTACTTATGTTTGGGTTATTCTTATCTCCATGATAACCACTATCCCACTTAAAGTCCAATTGTTCATCATAGTAACTGCTCATAGGAACAAAAAAGGCCCAAATTTCCAACGTGTTCAAGAATGAGGAAAAGAAGAATTGAAAAATGCCTCCAGACCCGAACGAAACGTGCCCAAAGCCTATATGCTAAGGCTGAGGCGAAAATTTTGACTCCAAAAGAAATTCGCCGACAGACTTGAATAGTATGGGTGTCAACCTGTCAACCAGAAAACAGATAACAATAAGAGGTCAAACTGCTTGTTTACTTAGCTGCAAATATACCAATGCTCCATTCTGGGCCACAGTAGTTCCATTTTATTTTTAATCCTTCATTCATTCACTCGACCTGTTAGCTGGCTGAACAAAAACTTACCTCATTCACTTTAATAAATAACCACCCACCTTACCGTCCTCTAAATCGGCTAGTCTCCCCACCAACAGCTTAATAATTTGTCGAAACTCGTTTTTTGACAGAAACGCGCGTTTGCTCATTTATGAATAAGCTATTTTCCGAATGAGTGAAAGAGCCATATACTCACCTTGACAATAAACACAAAGGCTATATAACGAAGCACTGGCCGCAATCGCAGGATTCTCAGCATGACACAGTACGTGTCCCAGATGGAAAGACATTTCGACGTCGCTGTCTTTGGCGTCTCAGAGGCTCCCTCTATTGCCATCGTTTGAGGCAAGATTTCCAGCTCCCCGTCCTCAGTCGAAAGGAGGGGACATCGCAACTCGTTTTCAATGCTGTCACCAAACACCTCAACGTTATTTCTTGACTGTTGTGATGACTGAACTGCATCCTCAAATATTATTGCCTCCCTCTCCCGCTTGAAGAGGGCCACTAGAGTGGTCGATACTATGAAAACAGCCCCACAAATATAGAGGAAACCTAAAAACGTAATATACTAACTTCATCCTGCTGGAATGGTTCCAAAATTCACCTCCTCTTCAGTTATCATTATCTACTTCCATCGTTGCTAGCCTGCCGGTCATTCCATGAGCATACAAGCCATCCATGCCCCGGAAAGGCGTCTGTTTTTCTAACCGAGCATGACATCATTGCACACATAAAATGTGCCTTAAGTCCTCAATAGAATTTGAGGTGGGAGCGTTCATCGTTAAGAAGAGATCTCCCTTACCATCAAGCGGTTCTTCATGCAGTCATCGATACTGCCGTTAACTGGACACCTACCAAACCGCTAAATGAACTAAGGTTCTGAATTTTAGCCAATGGCCGAGGAAGACCTAAGAAAAACCTTAAAACATTGAGTAAAATAGACGACAGATCAGCCATACAGATGATCAGATGGCACACTCTTGGCAATGAAGACAGGACGGCATCAGACATCAGACGGCTGGAGCTTTGACTACTGTGCCTTGTTAAAAAGCTTTGCTTTTGAGTGTTTGAGGAGTCAAAATTCGTACATAATATTGCATAATGATAAATGGTACATTGCAAATGCAATACGCTACTCACAGTTGAATGCCAGAACAATAAGCAAACAACAAAGATGGTTCTATTGCATGGATAAGCAGACGAAAGAAAAGTACACACTGAAGGAAGGCAACCTGTACAGATCAGTAAAACAGCTACGGGGATATAGTACAGAGTAATGGAAATTATGTCGACCTTTGGACAAATTTCCCATTCCATGAGTAGTACCAGACCTAATTAAGTTCAACTTTATTAAAAAAAGCGATGCAATTTTAAATGTCTAATTGATGCCGAAGATGAAGTAACAAGAGCAATCCGGACACGCAAATGGGCGGTATGAGTCCGGGTATGCGATGAGAGCATTTGGTTACTCATAAAATTTTGCTCTTTTTTCAAGTCAACGTTTTAATCAGGGACGGATAAGGAAATTCGGAAAATTATCATGTTTCAGATAGTAGTTCCTAAGTAAATCATACTTGACAACTTAAATGGGACCACAAAATGCACCACACCCACGTATTTCGGCTATAATACGTGCAGTCAACCAAGAACCGCAGGATCAAGTAATCACGATGTAAACAAAGGAAAAAGAACGACGCATTCAGACTAACCAGAAAAGCTGACTATTCCCTTATCTGGGACGGGCACAGTGCGAAAGTAGCTATTGCAGACGGAGGGGGACTCAAGAGCCAAGAAGACAATGAATCCAAGAATGTAGCCCATGCTCTGGCCAACTGAATTACACGTTGACGCCCAGCCCAAGTTCTCCCTGAAATAAAAGGGAAACCTAGAAATGAGGAGTTAACTTTGTGGTTATTGGAAGGCAAGTGTTACGAATAAAACGTCTCATTGTGATGGTCTTTGGCAAATGAGAACATTGTAAACACCTTCCTTGAAAAAGCTCGCCTAACGGGAGAGTATCATGGGAAACCGGCCAGTCGTGTAGGCATCAATATGTGCAACCGCCCATCTATAATCCGATTTGATGTGTTTGTTCACCGTTGGGTGATAAAGAACAAAAAAGGAAGCAACAACACTTGAAACACACTTAGGGCAAAAAAGTTGGTACTTCAGGTAGATTACTAGGCCATATATTGGATTCATATCACGTGTCTAAGTATCTGGCTTTAGTAACTGTTCGGATGAGATAGTTGATTCTGGGAAGAGCCCTTATCTATGGACTCAATTGAAAGGTCAAATTGAGCACAATAAGGAGGCAAAACGGACTCAGAGAGCATTGTTAGCGCCCATCCATCAACCACAATATCCTGTGTCGCTGCCAGTAGAGTAAGCCCAAAGAAAGCAGACGTGAGAGGCCAAATTTGCACTGCTCCGGCCACTCCCAGGGGACCCCAGTGGTCGCCCTCACGCCGGCCAAGCCATCGATCCACGTTGCCACCGAGGACGCAGAAATCGATGCCCAGAGCATACTGAATCGGCAAAAGCCAGGTCTTGCGTCTACCCAGGCTTGGAATGTAGAGAGCATCGACAAACGGTGCCCAGGCAAGTTTGAGGGAGAAGGGCCAGAAAACCCAAGAAAAGATGGCCTGATAGCGGTAACTCGCAGTGTGCTCATCAGACTGAAGCAGAAAGGGAACTGCAGAAGCTATTCCCAGAGGAATGCCCTGAAAGGTAAAGTCATTAATTGGTGCTCAAATTAACATGCCGTTACGTAAATGCGACCCCGATTTTCCCGACTGCATGAAGCGTAATTTGGAAATCTAGTTGAGAGATGGCTACATTATATGAAACGTTTGGACATCAACCTGCTTTTGGGTTTTTTAGCAATAAGTAAAGGAATGGTGTCCGGACTTAGTAACGAATGTGTCACGTGCCTCAACTAATAATCTATACATGTGTTCTACCTGAAGCTTTAATTTCAATGGGCGGCGATGCCGTACAAAGGCAGTCCAGTATGGTGGGGCGACCCCCAACTATGCTCTGGGAGAGAGGGGGGAGAAAGGAGGAATGGAACAACTACTACTTCCATAGACTAGTTAGTTTGTATAACCGAGTTGAATTGACGCCATTGTGTAGCTGAGTATGTTACTGAGGCTAACTCTCCGCGTGACCGGGATTTACGTCTTTTCTAACTAAAAGAAACTTCGTTCATCTAGCACGAAGGATCGTTTGTTTCATGCTGATTAGCGATGCATGAACTGGACTGAAGGGAAGGAAACGTGTACGCCATAGAACATTGAAACTAAGGAGTCATATAAAACACCAACTACAGCATTGAATCCTACAAAGTTAAGCCACCCAACATCGATTCTATGACTAGTAGTCCAAGCTCAAATTTCACAGCTAGAAATTCACTCAAAAACAGCCATATAGCTGTCTATATTAGTCACCACCAACCCATGTTACAGATTTTGAAGGCCAAAGAATTCGGTTAAAAGAATTTATAGGTCAGAAGTTATCAAAAATAAGAGCTACACTTCGTTACAACGGCATTAAAACCAGACATAAAATGGAACAAATAAGTCTAAAGAAAGCAATCCAGTCTGTGAAAAGGGCTATCCTATAATAAAGCTACCTTGTTCACGCACTTAGCGAGTGGTTTAACAATGTAGACAGCTGGAACTACAGGGAGTTGTTTACCGAGATATAGATACGGCTGAGTACACCAAATAGTAATCTGAGCAAGCTGTTCCCTATTTCCCGATGAAGAGATAGCTCAACTAGTACCAAGATAAGGGCTCAAACCAGGTCTAAAAGGCTAGAGAAAGTCGGCAATTGATGAAGCCAAAGTAGCAATAAAAACGACCCGAAACATTAGGAGGCGAGTCTAACGGGTGGCAAACAGAGTGTGAAAAGTCTGAGTACAATGTCTTATTTTCGACGTAGAAATGCGAAGAAATAAACGAAACCAAAATCTGAACATTCAGCTGACAGGATAATACTTACCCATTTCAAACCAAACACACGCTAAAGGCGGTAATGTCATTGTGACTGAAATGTTATATAACCACACGTATTTGGTAACCCCATAGTGAGCAGACAACCTAAATATACCGAGCCGTAGGAAACAGAACATCAGATGTAACGTTTCAATGCGTAATCACTGATCCACCAGGAGCTAAAGCGAACTAGAGTACAACGTAGGCAAATAGAAACCACAGAGGCTCCAAGCAACAAAGCAACTCCCCACAAAGCCGCCATACCAAGAATGCAGCCATGAAGCCTTTCTATCAGTGGAAAGGTAGGTCATTTGGTGGAATGTAAGTGCAAGAATTAAACATGAAGAAATCTACTGAAATTTCGTATTAACACAAATCCATTATAAAGCGCTTAACTTCTACCCATGGAGCTTAGAGCACAAAGAACCTTTAATAAAACCTTACTCAATTCACGGCAAAAAACATAAGATATCCAATGCTGAAAGCTAGTTTTTGCCTACTAAAATTCAAAAATGTGCACCATCTCTTGAACAAATAAGAAAGCAGGTTATAAGCTAGTAAGGATTCAAAATGAAAGCACTGGAAGGGGTAAATAATGAGGGTTATATAATGAGCAAATAGAGCATTGAAGAAGATCCAAAAAAGCAAGATGTAGTTAACATCGCCGCAATGAAGAGCTACAAACCTGTAGAATGTAAAGCCCGGTTAGGAGGAAGACTGAGGAAAGATCTTTGCAACCTTTTGCCTTTTTTGCCTCCTGTTCAGGCGGTGATGCGTTCTGCTGTGATTTCTGCATGTTTCGACGCCTCGTGGCCATTGTCTGCGGGGTCAAAAGTTGTAAACGACCCCAAACCTCACTACGGCGAATCAGGATGCTGAGACTGCTCTCGTGTATCAATTAATAGATGGTTGTGAGTGATCATAAAAATAAGTCTATTTTCTTCGAATGTTTCACAATTCGGTTCCAACACGGATTTATCAAATTAATTATAATGATAATGCTGTTGTTATAGCTGTAAAGCCGAAAACTGAAGTATGGCGAATCTTAGCAATACGTTTACTGAGTATTATAAATACAGCGCAGGTTATAACTTCTTGCATGCTACAAATTTTGCCACGGTTTAAGCCATTTTTGATTAGGATAATAAACAGTGCCTCAGAGTAACATTTACAAATGGAACGGATTCGAAACCTTGTAATAGTTGATGGGCGCTCCATCTGACGAAGTGGTTTCGACTTTGAACCATGTGAGCGAATTTCAGTGTGTAAACTCAGCTTACACGCATAAGTGCAGGACAAATGCGAGTGTCCGCAAGTCTTAAGAGTGATCGCATAAACAAAGTATCACATGGTCTCTCTCTTTCATTAAGCAACATCAATGACACTCTCTGGTCCCTAATCCTAAGACTTCAAGAGGCAGTTGGATGCAGACGATTTATTAGGCATCGTTATTAGGAAGGATGGGGAATGGGATACAGCTGAGGTGAGTAGGAGATATCAATTGGAGGGAGACTCCTCGCCGACTTCAAACAAGTGATTCACGTTCCTAATTGGTTTCCGCCTCTCACCTATAAAAGTCACTTAACCAAACTAGTGTCTATTACAATAGTCTCTACAATATTTTCGGCATTTCGAGGAAACAACCATGCGTCATCCGCGTCGGTCACCAGCCCCTCCTCCTCCTCAGTAGCTGGATTTGGATTACAGTCGGTCATAAAGCAGAAAATCCGGATACCTGCTTCTGTAGACCACCAGTCGTTCATGGATGAAGAGTGGAACAGATCTAAATAAGATGTACAAAAGGGAACACGTAATCAAACATGGTTCCACATGAAGGGGGTTCATTGTAGCGTTCCGATGGCTTACGTCAGATGGCAGATGTCAATTGCATACCTGCTGTTATAAAATATACAGAGGATCACCCGCCAAAGTACATGCTCTTCTTTCTCATTAGAGTAGTATACCACGACAGGTGTATATCAGGATGGAAGTCATAGCGAATTCCAAATCACTTCTCGACTTAATCGGTGCAGCATCTCAAGGCTTCCTAGCATGCATAATACGGCATCAATAAAGAAAAGGGAGGAATTAGGCTACGACTTCACTAGAGGACCAGACAACGCGTATAAGAGCAAGATAAATACCGAAGTGGCCAGTAGACATACGGACCGTCATGTCAGCAAAGTACTGCATCTGGTTACCGTCTTCAAGTTAAACGATTCTTTGGATCTGATTGAAGCAGAATGCATGATAAGTAATTAAGAGGTCATTTTCATTTCTTCTAAGTCGCATAAGAGTAAACAATTAGCACTATCAGTCAGAACCAATTACACTTTGATGGCTTGATGCATCGAAAATGCAGTGGGGGTTCATGTGCTGCTTTCTTTGTTCGAGCGTTTGTATGAGTAGCTCTCACTTTTACATCCACATTACTTCTGCCGCATGGGGTGGCTTTTAGCTCTGTCAATAGACCCAGTCCTTAACTTTAAGACCGATTAAATGTATTCAACAAAGACTTGTGTCTTCTTATACAGAGTAAGACATCTCAAGGTGCTGCTGTAATACCTTCCGTGTTAGACTAGCTGAATGACAAACGACCACATTCGTATTCACCTCGCTCTTGGGTGCGTGGGCTAACATTTGATTCGCCCCTGTAATGCATTATTTGTGTGACTACCTGACGTTCGGTGGTCGATTTTAAGATTTGTCTGGTCCATGTACGTGTGGGCTGGCCTTCGGGCCATGCTCAAATCTAGTCGCTTTGCTTTCTTTAGAACATATGTATCCAGCTTCACTTACTGCCTGATTCCATCCTGTGGGAAGACTCGGGACGCTACAGTGCCAAAGCTCACCTACTTGTCCTCTTTTATTAATGTAAGTGTTTAGCCAAACTGCGTGTCATCTGCTACCTAGTAGGCTGTCTCGGAACTTTACAGCTGCAGGCACAATTAGAGCTCTCACTTAAAGCGGGAATTAAACTTACCCCTTCCCTTATTTTGAGTCTTTTATATGTAACAATTTGTTTATGTGACCTCATGACGTTTGACAGTCTCTTTAGACTTCGACTGACCCTTGTACACTTCAGCTGGCCTTCGGGCCACGCTCAGACCTCATTTATCCTGTCGTCTTCGAAATACATGTATTCAACCTCACTTATGCCTCCTTCCATCCCATAGGAAGTCTTGAGACGCTACACTGGGAGCAGCGGGAAGCCAACCCGACATTTTCATTTAACGACTTTCACGTATAAATTGCTTTGGAAGGTCTTCTGCTCCAACCAACGTGGGCTCTCTCCCTCTGCGGCTTGTTCTTCGTTGGTCGTTTGATAAGAGCGCCGTGGCGTACGGGAAAATTTATTGCCCAACAGACACCGCTGTCTCACTGACATCCTACGTTTGTGTTGCTACATTTTGCCGAAAAAGGACAGCTCGAACCAGTCGACGAGCAATGGTTCGTCCGGATGATGCAATGATTCAGTACCTACAAATCGTACAGGATATGGAGATGTATGTCACTTGTTCTTGGTGTTGATGATCTGGGTTTGAGTACCTATGAGTCTGATAGTCTGTTGGACCCAAAAATCGGCTTCCCTTGGTCGGATGCACAAAACCTCTTTTTTCACGACGAGAAGTTTATAATCCAACCAGCAGACGAAACTACAAAGGACTTCTGCTATTTGGTGGAGCTGAAGATACAGGTGAAAAGGGGACGTGAATTGAAGAAGGCGCATTTACCTTGGTGGCGGGCGAATCCCCGAATCTTTCACAACGAAAGAGTTGAGACTGACGTCTGCATTTGTTTCCACCTTATGCCCGTGATCCACAAACAAGCCATTAACAACTGAAGCGACACCACCGTGAACTATCTGGAAAAGTTTCATGTCGGAATTTTCGCATAAAAAACCCGTCAATTTGTGTCGTAAATGGCACTACGGTTCTCCTTGCATACGGGACAGTAGCTCATCCCGTTTTCCCTGTAACATATGTGTTTTAGACCGGAGATCCGCCGTCTATTCCTGGAAGCAATTGGTGGTTAACAGGCGTATGCGGTCTCGAATCAGGTTGTGAGACCGAACGTAACTGCGGATCCAGTTGAAGCTGCCGGGGAGACCGTGTACGGTTTCTCAGTTTCGTGGCATCTGTCGACTGGTGCGGTTGGCTTGTGGGTGATTTCAAGTAGTACCGGATATGCTGCAATGGCAGGGGCAGGAGGTGTACCAAAAGGGAGTGCCGAGGACGTCGTTCAAAAGAAGAGAGGGACAATGTAATGGTTGTATATGTGACCACCTGAAGTGTGGCTGTCACTTTAAGATTTATCTGGACCCCGTACACGTGGGCTGGCCTTCGGGCCACGCTCAGGCCCCATTTGTCCTGGCGTCCTCAGAATACATGTATGCAGCTGCACGTACTGACTTCTTATACCGGCTAGAAAGTCTCGGGTGGCTACAGCAAAGCTGGCCAAATGCACTCAACTTTATTGTGGCCTGAGTAAATATAAGGGAGAGGAGGTGACGGATGATTGCACATGAATGTAACTAATTTTTACTTTCAGAATTAAATGGTAGTTAGGAAAGTTAGCGGCATGAAATGCATTTAGTAGGGATTAACAAGCTGATTAGATTTAATTTTCCAATAACGTTGTCCAATATCCATGCAGCACAAAGTTAAAAGTGTCTTGCTAAATCTACTTAAAATTTTCGGTCGGTTTAAATCCGTAGATCACCACTTTTTGCGTCATCGTCAACCAGTAACAAATGTGCGCAGATTTCGTTTCCATACATTGCAACATATGACTTCCTGTCTTTGGTGCTTAATTTGTTCTGAAATGCATCTGTCACATCGTGCTGTTATTGGTGTACATTGTCTTTAACGGGAAGGTTTCGGTTTTCCTGCAGGTATATGCTCTTAAAAATGGTCTCTGGACGCCTAACTCAGTAGTTTATGATGATTGATTATTATTTCTAAAGCAGGGAACTACTCGTTTGACAGTTTTTTGTTTAGGATTTATTTATCTTGAAAGCTTTTGCTCTATACTCCTCATTGTTGTTCAACTATTCGGCCGCATTTAAAGCTACTTTATGCTGTCTGACTTTGGTTTAGATTTATCATCGAAATGGATACCTATTCCTATTTAATTGAAATGGGGTTTACACATGAGGCGATCGAATGGGCACTCAAGCAGGGATGCTCAACTACTGAGGAAATCGTTGCATTGCTCTGCTCTCAGTGCGTTTCTATTAATCGTTTCTACTGAATAATTAGGTGCATGTATTTTTATTAAGTAGTCAATGCCTTTGCTTGTATGTTTGAGCGATTCCAGAACATGTATCAAGGTTGTGCCTTGCATGTCATGTCAACAAGCTGGCGTTCATACAGTTTTACTATTTATGCCGACCCAGAAACTCCAGTCCTGGAGCTCTCCACCTTTCAAGGTCTCGAAGGTCTCGTAAGTGCCTGTCAGTAAAAAAAACCTTGGTATTTTTATAGTAACTCAGTCAATTTGCCTGCTCTTTGTAGAATTTGATCGTCTTCCTTTCATACCATCGGAACAGCGTGCATATTTACAACCTGATCCGATTCTCCCATCCCCATCAAACGTAAATCAGCCAGAGGCGCCTGAGGAGGAAAATATGGTAGATTTTTACTTGTGGTCTCTTCTACTTACCTAGTTGACTCAATATACCCGCGCATTCTTTACACCGTGCAGGTTCACACCCGCTATGTTCTTCGACGATCATCGTTAAGCAAGCAGCAGGCGGAGGCTAAAAAACTGGCAGCTGAATTGCGGAAGGAAAAGCAATTGGCAATTGAAACTCGCCTCCGGATTAGGCAAGAAATGGCAGAAGAAAGAGCACTTAAGTATGAGTGATATTGCTCTATTTATTTTTTCTGGGATCCTGGACTATGTTTATTAATCCCGTTGGATTGTTGGTGAAGCATGCGGGGTCTCAGTCAATTTTTTATCGGATTTCCATGAAGTTTTCATCGCCTTTTATTGGGATAGAAGATGCTAACCGGCTTTTCCACCACTGCTGCTGAGTTGTTGGTTGCATGTTCAAGTCGAATGCTTTCATTATGTTCTTTTGTTAACCCGTTTATTTACACCATAATTATCAGCATTCCAGCATTTTTAATTATAATTTACATTGAGTTCTATCTATGATCAGCCTCTGATTTGCGGATGACAAGTGTATATCACTGTTGCATTATTTTAGGAGGGCCCAGAAAGGAGGTGTACACGAGTTGCAACCGAGCGACAAGTTAACAACTGCTGCCGCAATGGATACCAATCTGCCTGTTTCCGAATCTGACGCCTCGAAAATTAAAATTCGAGTTAGTACCAACACTTGTTTCATGCTATTAGGCGTTTGTACTGATTGAAGGAGAAAATTGCGAAGCATAGTGGAGGTAAACAATCTTATCAATTGATGAAATAATTTTCGGCTTGTTTGTTGGAATTATACTCAACATTCTTTTGAATTAATTTTCTTTTAAAGCATTTACGTCGTTACCAAAAGTTCCCTCAAGGGCGTTTATGCTTTGAGTCACTAGAGGAATGTGGTTCCACCGTTAACAGTTGACGTGGCCTACATAGCATTATTATGGGAGCGTCAGTTATATAGCATACTTATGTGATTCAGAAGTTTGACTCGTTTTACTAATCGACATTTTTAACACTATCAGGCATTCGTCGTTTATAGGTTACTATCCCATCTCATTGGCCTTCATCTTCCTCACTAATTGGTCAGTTTGACCGAGCTACTGCAACTCAGGGAGATCTAGAAAACTTTGTTCAGGATATTCTCGTGGGTATTTCGACGGGTGAACACGAACAATTATCGTTGAGCCTTCCCTGCATTCACCTATTCACATTGGAGCCGCCTCGACGTCAATTGAACAGTGAATCCACAAGGAACACTCTTTTGGTTGACCTCGGTATCGTCCAAAATACTCGTGTAGTCGTGTCACATGGTCAGTTCAAATCCTGAAAGAATTCGTTTTATTGTCTTCTTCATCAAAAGTCTGCAGCGTTTATTTTCACATTCTCAAGATCCAGCCGGATGTTCCGCATCTCACGTGTCGGCACCAGCTGTTGGGGCTCCGTCTTTGCCCTCGCCGCCGCCAGACCTTCTACCCTCACTCCCGCCATTGCCACCACCTCCACCCCCACCACCGCCACCACCCCAACACTTGAACTCAGAACCGAATTCTCGAGCTCCACCTAGGATTTTCCGTCCTCCAGGCAGTTCTGGTAACTAGAGCCCATTCTTCCTCAATGCTTATATAAAAGGGACGTTTGAGTCGAGCAAAAGCAATGTTGTATCCATTAGTGAGTCCAAATATTTTGTGCAATTAGGTTCAGCTGCAATCTGGCGCGCTTTGCGGCCATTGCCACCGGTAGCTATTCCTATGGAGAGACCGGATTATCGCCGAGCCATTCCAAGTCTCTGTCGTCTCTGTCTCAGGACAGTGATTAATTTGGTGAAGGCTGTAACAGAAGGTGGAAGTCGATTTGATATTCATTCCAGATTGGATAAATTACCAGAATTACGGGATCCCGGGGCAATAGCAGGTCTTTATTACCTCACTTCTGGAGTCTTTCTTCTACCTGAAAATCTTGGTGCCGAAATTTTGACGAAACTTTGCTCTGATCTCGCTTTCAATGTGGCCTCTGCCAATTTACTGAAAAAGTAGGTGTAACTTTTTGGGATGATAAATTGCACACCATGGCATATTTGATGTCTTCTTTTTTCTACAGCTTCATTTGTAACCTCGACCTTAAGCATTATGGCCTAGTCTCGAGTGAATTGGTGATAACCCTCGCCAGAAATTGGACCTGTTTGACAAGTTTGGATTTGGGTGGCCACCTTAGCCACATCAACCCCTATGCCATTCAAGAAATAGGCAGTGAGTTGAGCTTGGTGCTTGATTCCTTCAAGCAAGACATATTTATCACTGTATTTTCATTTGTTGGGGTAGAATTGAAAAACCTTCGAGTTCTGGGTTTAGACGGATCCAATAGTGTTGACAACAACACAATTGATGCTATTGCAGGTAAGTTGAAGTGTAACGTTTTTCTCTTGATTCTACTCACTTACTGGTAAATTTCTAAACAAATAGTCACGTGCTACCTCTGAAGACGTTTAGGTAAGCCGCTTGTCTGCAGAAGAGCTAAATACCGCCTAGTGAGGCAGTTAAGAGTGGAGCAGATTAATCGAATCACATTACGGATTGAGGGATCTTCTTTCGTCAACGTGATCTTTACCTCAATCTTATCGGCCGTACTTGTTCGAAAGCTACATAGAAAAGCAGAATACAGTAAAGTTTGGTTGCATTCCGTCAGTATTATCTAACTTTTGGCTTCCTTAAGGTTAGCGCAATTTCTCAGTAAGTCACATCATAGCCCATCCTTTGGAGTATGTACTTGTGAAGCTTAGGAGCAGTAACTAAGCAAAACCTCAAATACGCCTTTACAATTTAACTACATCGTTGGGCTTGATTTTTCCTCTCCTTTAGTACTCCCTAATTTGGAAGTCTTGGGAATTTCGCAAACAAACGTTACCAACGATGGTTGGCAGCAGCTTGTGTATCGATATGAATCTGAGGGTCAAATGGTCGCTCCACTGCGATCTCTATCCGTTTCTGACACCTATTTACACGATGTCGGCCTTTGTGCTATCGTTAGACTCTTTCCACGACTGGTAAAACTCGACATAGATGGAACCAAGGTAAGAATGATCCTGTAACACAACAAAACCGAATTCATTCTTGAATCAGGCAGCTCTCTCTACCTTTACCCTTCCCCATTTCTTCAATAGGTCAATGGCATCGCACCAGTTGTATGCCGAGTAACCCCATTAGCACATCTTCGATGCCTCAACGCGAATGCCTCAAGTCTACTCTGTCTTCCTCCCTGCCTCCTTCCACCACTCACGGATGTCGATAAAGGTCTAACTAGGATTGATCTCCGCCATTGCTTCGACCTTCGAATAGAAAAGGTTTTAAGTCAATTGTCGGGTCAGCCAATCGCCTACCTCAATGGCTTTTTTAGCCATGAAAGAATGTCTTTTCAGTGTCTTCACTCCCTCGCCGGTAGTATTTCAACTTAAGCAATACCCACTTAGAAGATGTGTTTAAAGAAGGAATCATTTTTCTCTCCCTAGATTTGCACCTTCCTCTTGCAGAGGTGGACTTAACTGCGATCAATAGACATAAAGCACTTTCAATGTTGAGTCTTTGTCGGCTTTTGCAAGACTTCACTACCCCTCATCTTTCCAATCTCTTTCTACCAAGAGGGCCCATTACTGTTGCTGAAGAGGGCTCTCTTGACCAGTTGGTCGAGTGCTTGGCTTCAATGAAGAGTGTAAACTACCTGGATTTTGGCGATCAGGCGGAACTTTTAACGCCGAATCAGATCTTTACGTTGGTCGGGCTTATGCCTTCACTTGGATGTGTGGTGGCTCGAAATCTAACGTGAGTTTTGTTGGGGTTATTTTAGTTCAACCATTTGACCTGCCCTGTGAAGCTGAAGGGTAGCATAAGGTCAGTTGTAGCTCCATCCAGGTCATGCATAAAGGGTTGCCTTTAGCATTGTTAACTTTACGCCAATGGCGTAGACCGGATGGCTAAAGGTGATAAGCCTGCATAGTTGCTTTTCCGAAAGAAATTAGCTGTGAATACAATTACCGTCTTTCCTACGAAATGCGTTTCACTGTGATCTGCCCCCACTGGGATTACTGAGTCCCTCCAAAGGTAGCTGTGGACTCTAGTAGGCTAGAGGTTTGCACCCTGGGATAGGTGGTTTCCTAATAAGTTTTGTAAAGATAGACTTCGGAGGACTGCCCTTTTGGGTTGGTGTTTATGGAGTATCCTTTTCGTAGAGCGGAACAGGAGAATTGGGTCCAGAGGGGCTTGCCGGCGCATTGCCGTCTGAGGGTTCAGAGGCACGCAGTTACTGGCGATGAAAGCAGTAACTCCAACAGCAACAACAATTCGTTCCTGCAACCGGCGGCATTACCTTAATAATTATTGAAACTTCTGATCTCTTTTATTGGAATGATTTGTGTCACTGGATTATTTTTGTTTTATTCAGATAAAGCATAGTGGAAGTGTGACCCATAACTGTGGCCTTTTCGATATTTGGGGGACAGTGCAGTCGAGAGGGCAGCCATGATGACTACGAAGCAGGTGTGAAGACGCCATATTGCGTTCCATCCTAGTGGATAGTTGATGAGGAACTCTTGATCATTGGTTCGTGATTCAATGAATGAGCTTTGATACATGCTAACTATGCACTATGATGGAAGTTCAGAATTACTGTAGTTTGGAAGTGGGCAAATCACTATTCTGCCTTGATGGACTTCGCACCAGAGGGAGATTCGAGCAGTTACAAGAGACGAATTTATACTTATTAGCCATCCGAGGCTTTCTCTCAAGTCGAGGACGGCATTAGGGTTGATTAGTACATTCAGAAAGGGAAAAGACGACGGGACCTGTGTTGGCCAGATCTCAGAAACGGCTGATAACCATAAAGGTGGTCGCATAAGCAAGGAAAATTCGGTTACGGTTACTCACGCAACTATGTAGCATCGGTTAAGGGTTGTGCATGCATTCAGCCCATTAAAATATATTTTCTGCCTGGTGGAAAGCCCCAGAGTGCTACAGTACAAATTTGTGTAGACATTTAGCCTTCGAAAGCGATCACGTAGGTGTACAAACGCTGCTTAGTGCTCCTAAAAAGCCCACAGAAGCAAAGAATTTGGCACCAAAATATGACCGGACTTAAATGGTAATTACAAGCTTACTTAGAAAACGATAGCAAGACCATAGTATAGTGTTACGCTTGTCGCTACAGTTCTAAAAGTATTTGAAAGGCTTAAATATCTCACATCTCATAAATAAATTTGTAAGCTTGCATAAGGCTTCTTCGGCCCTCTAAAGTAAATAACTTAATACGCAAATATGTTCAGCAACCACTACCACTTTGACAAGCGGAAATTTTGTTGTATCAGCTTTATTCTATTGTAAGTAGTAATTTATCTTAACTTTTTATGAAATGACTAATTCACAAATCACCGTTAAATATTCAAGCGCGGGCTCTGAATTTGTTTGTTAAGAGCCCAGCTGCATATCGCTCGTTTGGAAAAAAAATGGATTCTCTCTTGACAGAAGAATTGCATCACATACCCCTTGAAATAAGCAAGCTTCAAGTCGAATCAAATCTCCTTTCGGTTTCACCAAATGGGCTTGTTTTTATTGCCCGTGGAAACGGTAAGGTCCCGTGTTGTCTCACGTCACCTTGGGTTAGATTAACAGTTCTTATGGCTTGATGCTTTTGTTTTTCTCTAGCTAATTTTATTCTTTTTTTGTGCATCATGGGAATTTTGCGTTTGTTTTAGAGTCATCTGCTTCCATTGAATGTGTGAATCAGTGTACTCTAGTAAAGTCTCCACTTGGTCGGCTTGATAACTTCGTCTTTTTCGGCTCGGTGGCAGACGTTTTTTTTCGCCATTCGGATTTGAGATTCTAATCCTTTTTTGTTTGTTACATTGCAGACCTGATCGTTTTTAGTACCAGTGACTACAACCAAGCCAGTTCATCATATGCGCAACGCAAAGATAAACCTCTGGTCAATTTCAAGCCCACTCTGTGTATTACTCTTCGCCATCGTATTACTTGGCTCAGTGTGAACTGTTCTGGCAGTCTCCTTCTTCTTGCCTACGGTTCATCCATCCAACTGCTCAACATTCAACGGCTGGTAAGTCTGTGTTTTCTTAAACCTCTTCCAATTTTTAGTCTGCTCACTCTCCCCACGGTCTTCTCGGGAACGTTTTGGACATCCCAAAAGCGGAAGGAGCCATCCGGGAAATGGCATGGAATCCTGCCGACAAGCACCGATTTGCCCTTGTTACGACTGCTGGTTCTGTTTTCATGTACTTGGCAGACCCGTCGCAGGAGCCTCACATAAATTTAATAGGATGTCTACCTACTTCGGTCCAAGTTCAATGCAGTAAGAATCAGTGCTACTAGCTTATTCTCGTGCCTCTCATTCTAGTTTTGTCTAAACAATTTTTCTTTTGCATGATTGAATTCCGTCATGCAACGTTGATTAGTGGGAATGAAATTTCACTATCGATTAAAGACAAAGCATATGATATACCTATCGGTGTTACGATGCAAGGGCAAAATTTTTTGCATACTTTCTCAGATTGGAGTAAAAACTGTTTTGTGCCCAAAAGAAAGTCTTTAATTGAGTTCAATTTTCACTTGAAATTGAACTCTTTGGTGAGATGATGCCAAGGTCTTCGTCTCCATTCATCATTATCGGAAGGGGCATTTAATGTTTTCGCAGGCACAGCAATTAGCAACTTTACCCAGAGATTTTTGAAGTTATAGATGTATCTTCAAAGTCGCTTGTTGTGCCATTTCATAATTAGTACATATTATCGATGTTATCGTAGGGCGTGTTGTTAAAGATGGATTCCACGAATTCTATTCCATTTGCAGTTGGGTGGCTTTGCGATGTTTAAATCTGCTTCATTTTTACCATTCAGAGAGTGCAGACTTTATCGTGCGTTGGTAACAGGATTGTAAAGAGCATGAGTAAGTAAAGGCTTCTCCCTAGAGTTTATAACATCAGAAGGCAGAATGTGCTTTACTGTTGAAATACGTTTATTTTGACAAGAGCTTGCTTTGCGGATTAGTCTCACCTCTAAGCTCTGACTGATATTGGCAAGTATGGTGAGCAGATTGATCTCTATCATAATGGGGAGGAAAATCTCACATTTGATAATGGAGAGGAGTGGGATACTATAATGTTACAAATTTGATCAACGTGTACAGTGCTATCGATTCTTTCGTCTCTTGGTGACGAGGCACTTTGAGAGGGTAAAGTAGACGACCGAATTAGATTTGTTTTGACCTCCTGTCCTCTCAGAATGTTAACGTCAGGGCGTCAAAGTTCAGAGTTCTGTAGGGATGAGATAGCACATGCTTTTCGAACCTCTATTTTACATCTTTTCCTTCGTTTGGAGATTGAGCTAGACGACAGAAGCCGATAGGGAAGGAATGGGGTGGTCGGAGGAGGAAATAGTAGTCGTGATACTAGCTGCATTAGCAACAGAAGCAGCACTAGTGCCATTAACGATGAAAGCAGCGTCTGGTTACAAAAAGGAAGGGAAAGGGGAGGAGATGTAGCTGGTATCGTTCTCGGGGTTATGACTGAAATTCCATTCAGCATCCCGTTGGCATTAGTCATCATGTCTTTCGATTCCCAAAGGAAAGAGCTGCGTATTTATATAATTCCTTCTCTTCATTTAATCATACTTCCCATGAGAGGTACAGAACGTTGAACTATGGACGAAACTAATAGGGGAAGGAGTTACAGAATGTTCCATAACAAACACTGCTGATTTGTAGAACGTTGTAGGGTTCGAGGTCTGGCAATGCTGACTGTTCAGGGATGAAATCACTGTCATCACTGTTGATTTTTATGAGTATTAAGCATTAACTATCCTCTCTACTTTCCATCTTTGACAGGAGATGCCAGGACTTGGTGCAAATTCGTTATATTGCTAAGGTTAATTGGTAATCATTTCGTAAAATCCTGACTGCACCTTTGTTCCTTTCAGTGTGGAGTTAGATTTTGTCACTGTTAATATACAGATCTTTCTTTCCGATCTTGTAGTTTCATGGAGTCCTAAGGGCAAGCAGCTAGCATTGACCGGTATCGGCACTCTTTCGGAGTCAACACCAAAGTCTGCGGCGATGAACTCCACTTCTATTGTCCAGGTGGACCACGACCTTAAGGTCAAGCGGATCATTCCTATCAATGCACTCCTTAATGAGCATCTCAAGGGTAGGTATATATTCCCTTTTCTGTTTGGCTGATTCTTTTAATCCTTGACTCAGCAAACCTCAGTTTTTCTATTCGTTGCCTAGGCATCTTCCGATCTATAGTCGTCGTTGCTATTTTTACACTTAAACAGGTTAATGCGCATCCGCTACTTTGCCTTACTAAACTAGCAAAATTAAATAGATTTTCGTAATTCCGTGCACTTGGTTTGGTTGTCCCAATTCTTGTTATGCTTTTACTCCTCACTACATCCTTTTGCCTTCTGGATCGAAAAAGGGACGGGGGGATACACGCACCTTTTCGTAACAGCCATCCATCATGTAGAAATTTGCAGTTACCATTGGAAATGATCTTTGCTCTAGCCTGAAAACTTTAAGGTTAGTGGTGAGATTGCCAGTTGAGGGCAGTCACGTGATGGAATTACTTTACCGATCCTTTTTTAACCCATGGTTGAGAAATAACGGTTGATCAAACTATCCTCAGCGGCATTAACTGATTTAACATCCAATGTACACCATCCTTTTGAAACTATTTCATTGGCTTGGAGGCCTTCATTCATAATAGGATAAACGGTAGTTTGAGTTGGAAGAGCCTATTTCCTTTTCCCCTTTACTGTTTTTATGCTACGGCGACCGTTTTGTGCATCTATGTGTATGAGTGGGTGAGATCGAAGGGAAAGGGAGGGCATTCAATATGAATGTACACTGCAACGCCCTTTTACTGCCTCTAATACGTTTCTGGTATAAATATTTAATCTGATGAACGAAACGTGTGTTGTTGCAACTCGACGGTTCGGATCGTTAGAGTTGCCAATCTGCGTTGTTTTAACTTTATTTTTTCTGGGCAGAGGTGATGGTGGACGCGTAAGAGATAGTATCACAGAAAAAGATTGGCAATTTTCATGGTTGTCAAAGTAGTTCAGCTACCAAATGTGATTGACAATGTTCCGTGAATTTTATTGGCATTTGGTTTTTCGTTTTTGCAAAAAAAAGGCTTATTGTTGATCCCTAGTTTTCCTCTATTTGTTCTCAGTTAAAGATGTCGACCTTTTTTGATGTTGTTGCATCTAATCTCTTATCGTCTTCACATGGACGCGATTTGAATTCGACTACTTCCCGAGTTCAGTTGAACTCGGTCCTCTAGGAGATTGGACCTGTTTTGCGCGTAGTGAATTGTGGATGCCTTTGTTCTCTATGCATTTTTTGCTGAACACCAAACACACTTGAGGAGTATTTGTTGCACAAAATACCCTTTGGAAGAATAGTAACCTCCATTGGTAGGGACGAAACCTTGCTTTTAGAAGGCAACGCACAAATATATTGCTACAAGTACTTGTTCTGGAGAAATAGGTGGTTGTAGTTGCCCCATGGGACGGAGGGTTGCTATTTACGTGGAATTTAAGGGAAACTTCTGCCTCTTTCTAAGTGTGTGATGGACTGTAGTGGTGAGCGCTTCGATGTGGATGACTTCCCGTTGCACGAACTCGCCTTGTCGCCCCATAAACTGATGCTACAAAGAACTGCAAGGGGCTGTCCATTTGCTTACCTACATACCGAAAACATTCAGCTTCTATAGAACACTTTCTAACTTAATAAATGTGTCTGCGAAGGAATTTATTACGATCAAAACAGAGATAAAATGGTCCTGTGTTGGCGCAGACAGGAGGGAAAAAGAATGTCATTTATATGTGAAACCAACTTTATAAATGCTCAAATACTTTGACTTCCATGTTGGGGAGTGTGCCTCGGTGAGTGCCGTGGTAAGGTATCACTTGCTGATCTGCATTATGACTTGATGCTGTTCCTTTTTAATTGATACCTTCCACCGCTTGGCCGTCTGCCTAGGTTTTACTCTTATTTTTGTCTTGAAAATGCACATTATATCGTACCGCTTTGCTCAAACGCTATGCATTTTCTCCACAAAATCCTGTACAAGTGGTTGGCCTGATGTACCGTTTGAGAATGCGAGTTGGTGGTGATGCGTTACGATTAGTTGTGAGTACAAGAGTACATGTAAGAAGTTTCGCTAAATGTAGAGGTTCTAATTGCCTCCTGCATTGTTGTTTTCTGCAAATTTACCTTTACTATTTGGCCCTCCTCCAGAATTAGTCAGGCATAGGGGCGTATTTACGATCTCATTTTAGTTTTACCAATTGTCGGTGCGTACATATGCCTTTTAGACCTCACTGAACCCCGACCAATCAGCATTCTGTGGACCTCTTCATATTGCTTTCTCCTGGGCGTAATGGACGCCAAATCGGGTAAAGAAATGCGCCTCGTCTTCATAACTGTTCTGGTGAGCATATCCAATGTATGGTTAACTTTCTGCTTACAAAAATGCAGTAACACCCACTTCTCCGCTCTGCTGTAGCCAAAGTCAGAAGCACGGTTAGGAAAACTCCCCGATTTCACGAGTTTTGGCATTGGCCATTGTCGCTACCTAATGTGTCTTGTGCCCAATTCGATTACACTGGCGACAGTGACGTGGTCACCTGACGCAGAAGAATGCTACCTCCTTGACATTCCCTCCATCACAGCGTCAAATGAAAGCCCACCTGTGGACAGTCTCCCAAAGCTGATTAAAACGCTTCCACTTCCTACTGACAGCTATCCCGTCGCAATGCATGTCGGCGCTCTGACAGATTCTCCTGATCCATTGCCTCTCATAATTGGCTTGTTGGCGAATGGAGCTGTATTTGCGTTCAAAATATTTCCTCCGAAGAGTATCCAGGCTGAAGGTTTATGTAACATCTTCGCGGGCTTTCGAACGTGGTGCGGATCAGCTGATAAACCTCCACAGCTACTATCCAGTAATAGTGGTCATGACCTCATTACTATTGGTGGCACCATTTGGAAATACGTTCATATTTGCCTTTTTATTTTGTTGCAATTGGAAAGTCTCCTTGAAATCGGGTGATACTAAGACTTTTTTACTCACACCTCTTAGGTGCTACACATTCTACCACCTCTCACTCTCCCAGTTCTACTCCGACGAGTCAATTTGAAATAACTTCTGTATCCACTGGTAGCACACACTTTCGACCGTTTGATTATTTTCTAGGTGGTACAGCCTCTCCTCCGAGTTTAACGGGTCATTTGGATCAAACAGCGGTCGCGGGTAACCTTTCAATATCGTGTTTAACGTTTCAATCGGTATTTCGCATCCTATTAAATTTCAAATTGTTCTCTACTTTTTTTATTTTGTGCAGAAGTAAGATTATTGTCATATAACCTGTTTTAATTTTCCGTCACACGGTTGCTTCCTTAGTGGATCCAAAAATCGCATATATATTTCCTAATGAAATTTTTTTGGCACTGGAATGTATTGGCTCATTGTTGCTTTCAGATGGGGCAGTGGCAAAAGCAACTTCAACAGGGCCAATAAAATCGGGTAAAACGTTTTTTTTGGCCTTCACATCTTTTGGGGGCATAATTAGATATTAGCAAAGCACAAGTGCTCATCCTCGAGTCATCGTTTCAGAGGCTGCAACAACCAGTTCGGCAGCGCTGTCTTCTGCCCCCACCTTCGGGTCGTTATTTGGAAGACTGGCTGACACGAGTGAGGAGTTGTTGTTGTTGAAATAATTATGCGTTGTTTTGTTAATATTGAAAAGTGTCTTGCCACCATTGTAGCTTCAACGACGTCTTCCGTTGGGCCTTTGTTAGTAAGAGCCGAAAGTACCAATAGTGAGTCGCCACTTATTTTAGGCTTAAGTAGCATTTTGTGTTTTATTTACCACCACTTCCAACTAACTTAGGCACACCTTCAGGGTCCATCGCTGCGACATCCCCAAAAACTCCTCCTGGAAAACAGGCTACTACGGGTACTTCTAAGTTTAGTGACTCGAATTTGCCCTTGTTCTGACTGCTAAAGCAATAATATTTCCTAATCTTCCGTTGCAGTAGTATTCAAAAGTGTTCCGTCAATGATAGCTTTCTACTGGTATAGCATGGTTTCGATGAGTTGCGACTTATAAGCTCCCACTTTTTCTTTTTAGACGGCTCGGCACCTAGTTTGGCTGCCATCACTTCTGCGCTCAGTGATGTCAGGCCCGCCAATACAGGTAGGCGGAATTTTTTGATTGAGGGCTATAATTATTCAGTGGAAAAGCCACTTATCCGTATGTTAGCTGTCCCTGTTGTCTCACAATCGTTGTTTAGGTCATTTACGCTCGACAGCTTATTGGGTCTCCTCTTTTCAGCTGTCGTCAAAAACCTGCCTCCTGATATTGGTAGTTTTTTTCGTAAAACTCATTATTCGTGTTGCTGATTTGTCCAAATTTCACTACAGTTAATATGGATTACCCTTTTTAGGAGAGAATTCAACTGTGGAACCACCTTCACCCACTCAGCCTATAATAGAGGCGGCCAATCAATTTTGGAAGGCTCTGAGATTACAAGCGGAGACGTCTGCGAATGCCTGGAACCACCTCCATTCCGTATTTGAAGGAAATTCATTGAATCTTCAGCAGAAGAGCGATGCGAATGTGGTGAGGCGAGGTGTATGGGACATTGAACGAAGCCTTAACAACATGGACGATTTTTTGCGCGTTGTGGAGGAGGTAGGGTTATCGTCCCCGCTCTGTGCATAGTTTGTTTTAAGAGGCTGTAGCATTGTCCCGCCTACTTCAGATCACTGGAGAGCTCCGGAAAGCCTCTCAACTCTCCGTGAATGAGCAGACAACTTCTGCGGACTTTTTGGATCGTCTGAATGGCGATGTTGAAGCTTTTCACCACCGCATTAGTGATAACAATCGGGTCATAGCTGCCGCGGGATTAGATCCTGGAGCTGCTGCTATGCTAGCTTCGCTGAAGCGAAAATCTCGAGCTGCTGAAAGCTTTTTAGCTGAACTTGAGGACCAAGTGGAGAGTCTTTCCGCCCAGTTGGACGCTCGGAACGAGCGCACCAATTGCTTGGTGGGTAGGAATAGGAGTAAATCTGGCTTTTCCATGGGTGATGTTGGAAGGTGATTAGAGACACTAGCTACTCACATTACCTTGGAGCAGTGAAGATCACTGATCTTTTGCTTCCTCCTCAGCCCGATGGAAAAGATTCAAGCGACCATGGCCACGAACGCGCGTCTCATAAAGTGTGAACGCTATCGACTAGAACTTATATCTCGCATGGCCGGAATATCCATTTCCGACTGTTCCTCCAACAATTCGAAAAATACTTCTACGGCTCCTTCGTTAGGTGGTTCTGCTGTTAGTGTGGATCGGGAACAGAGGGATGCTCGGATATATCGTATGCTATGTGCTAAGGACATGTGCATGACAAAGACAAGAGTAGCGAAAAGTTCTGGGCTGGAACGACTTCCAATTGCCAAGGCGCCGTCGACGGTCGCGGAAGTGTTGGAATTAATGCGGAAGGAGAGGGAGAGGGAGGAGTCTCAATTAATAAAGTCGACACCTAAATCAGTTTGTAGGACACCGCTGAAAGCAGTAGGAGCCTCGAGTCCTCCCAAAGCCGCGTCACAGATGAGTAAGTTAGAGAAATTTGAGGGACCTTTGTTGTCTCCTTAGCTTTTCGGTTTCCGACTTGAGTATGTAAATAAGCCTTCTGGTAAGTAAAGTTCTCTCTGTTTAAGAGCTTGTTCTCCCATCATTTTAGAAGTGTCATATTACTTCATCGTGGCTGCTTAGTGAAATGCCTCTTTGCTTGAGGTAATTGCTATTGGGAAATCCCAAAAGTTAAAGAAGCATTTTAAGTATAAATGGTAGGAGTGTTCATGTTGATTCAGCTGCTGGTAACTGGATTACGTCGAAAATTATTACATCTGGAAAATGGCGCATATAGACATTTGTGTATGACTGCCTTTAGATTTGCCTGGTCAACAGAAAAATCTTGAAATTTCGAAACTCCTTGCTTCTGCCGCCTCAGGTTAGTGGTTTAAACTCTAGTTCGTGTTAATTGTCGACTTGAGCTATGCTGAAGAGGATTATTCCATTAAAAATTTCTAGTGCCACCTGTGATGTTGGCAAATGGACATCCCAATTCAAGAGGCAGTGGATTTAGTTTCGCCATAGCCACGGAGAATGTTCGTACGTCAACTCCTGTTCATAAGACCATCGATAAATTGCAGCCCCTGAAAGGTTTGTCATCTGGTTCACTTAACGTCGATTGGGTTTCTACTGAAACTTTATAAGTGACTATTATTCTATCCTCTCATGAAAGTACTTCCCGTTACGAAATCAGAAGCGCCTTGCATCACACCAAGCTCAGTCGGTGAGTGTTTTCATTAAAAATGCACAGTTTTCGAATAATGATGGATTACCCCATCTTTCCTCATCATTAAGGTGATGCTGTGTTTGTACCATCCTCTCAAAAGCCGCCCTCGTCTGGTGAGTCAGCATAATTTTTTTCCTTGCAATGAGCATCCATAGTTGAGTACATTGCCATGGCCGTATTTTGTTTTAGGAGTGACTTCTTTGTCGAAAGCACCTATATTTGTTCCTTCTACGTCGAAGTCTCTCACTCTGCCCACTCGTGCAACTCCTATGGGTATGGTGCCATTGCGCCTACTGTACAGAGGTTCCTCTCCTCTCCCACAGAGATAGTAATTGTCTTTGCTTCTAGCTGCACCCACGACGAAGGTGTTTGGAGCTCCAATGAGTGATTCGGGTGGCGAAAATTTCAAGCCACTTTCTCCACGACGTGAGTTAATCATTTAAACCGAAACATATGCGCGGATGTTTGGCCCAAATAAGAACCTGATGGCTTTCAACCTTTTCATTTCGGCTTTTATAGTTCCATCCCCAACAACTGTTACAGATGCAGCTTCGACTGGCGCATTTGCTGTTACTGTGTCTCGAAAATCGCCTTCTTTCATACCAACTTCCGTCCAATCTACTGCTCAAAGTTAGTTGCTTCGTTTAGCTTCACATTTTGGTGTATAGCGGAAAGTCAGTTAGATATTTTCACGAATTCGAGTGTTCTGGCAGTGTATCGATGGTAAATGGACTATCATCGAGCTACCGAAATCAATTTTTGTGATGAACTGAAAAAAAGTTACTGAGTGTTGGGATTGAAATAGGTAGATTGATATCTGGTAGTCTTGTAAGATGATTGGTAATTTGTTGAAAGGATTTTGTCGATGAATCGTCAATTCAACCCGAATTGGAATGATTGCTGTCAAAAGTAAAGTAACATCTGAAGGTGGTGGATGAGTCATTTAAATTTGGCTTGATAGAGCTACTTTTCCTCTTCTCTTTTCTGCAGCTTCCCCCACTTCTCTTGGGTCCATTTCTACTCCTACCGCCGTTTATTCTACCACTTCTTCGGAGGCTACAAGCAGTAAGTTGATAACGGTACTCGACCTCTTATCCTGTCATATCCGATCCGAATTTAGAATTGAATGTGTTTAGCCTGCTGTTAATAACCCTAATTTATTCCCACCCATTACTTCAGCACTTCCCGTAAGTAGTACCGTCTCTGATGCGGATGCAACCAAGACTGATTCTCTGCCAGGTAATCATCTGTTCTCTTTCTCATTGTTTTGAAGTTTCATCCCTTCTGCTGTAGTTGTAACTTCTATAGTATCAAAACCTTTCGCTGGCGTTTTATTTGGGTCCACTTCTCCCTCCACTACCGAACCGCCTTCTAATGAGATATCAGCTGCATCGGCAGCACCTTCTACTGCCAACACTGTAACGACATCAAAATCCAGCCTGTTCGGTTTCCCACTTGGTGGGTCGACAACCACTTCAACAACGCCAGTGGTGACCTCAGTTTCGGTGTCTTCTGAACCTTCTAGAAGTCTTTTCGGTGAGTCGACGATTTCTCAAGGCGACTTTACAAACCCACAGTTGGCTCCTGCATAGTCTTCTTATCGGCTTTTCATCTCTCGCATCCTTGATTTGTGAAATTAGGGAAGTGAGGGTGTGATTTGACTTGTTGTTTACTCGAGTCATTTTCCACTTGTTCCTTGTTAAGATTTAAAACCAGTTGGCAAAGGTGAACCTTCTGTCAGTGTACCCAGTAAGTGTTTCTATACTCTTTTTCAATTATACACTCTTTATTTCCATGTTCTTGATTTTATCGTTCCTCCTTCAGGTCAGTCAAACACCACAACTGATGGTAAATACGTTTCGGCTTTCATTTGATGCTTTGGTGGTTGGTTAAGCATGCAGCTTTTAATTTTTTAATCATATATAATTTCTCTTATTGGGAGGCGTTTTCACTACCGCCTCTGTGGCTCAGCCGAGTCAAATGCTGGGTGAGTTTGAACCTATTTCATCATTCATTAATTCACAGGCATAAAATGATGTCATTTCCACCTCATAGGAAGTGCGGTTGTCGCCACTGCCGCCACTAGTCAGGCAACTCAGGTTTTTGGTGAGTTGTTTTCTCCGAATTGTCTTGAAGTGGTTCCTTGTCAGCAGTGCTTCCAATTCCGAATTCGGTTTACCATTGCTTCGCAGGAAACGTTGTTACGGCCACTGCCACTGGTGTTACTGTTGGCCAGCCTGGCCAAATATCTGGTGAGCATTATCCTACTTCCAAGATCTGGATTTTTGGATGGAAAGTAATTTTACGTCTCTTTTAGGGACCAATGTTCCTGCTGCCCCTGGTTCTGGCGAATCCGGGCAAACCTTGGGTACGCACTGTACTCGTTTGTTAAACCACTTATAAAAGTCGGTATTATGCGATGTGTGCCTTTATTCATGGTTTGATGTAAAATACTTCATTTATAGGGGCTTCCCAACAAAAACCATTGTTTGGTAAGTATTGCTGATCGAATAGCAGTGATTTTTACCTAGACGCCCTCTTAACCATCCTATAAATTACTAGTTACTAACATCGTGCCAATCATTGTGCCACTTTAGGGACCGCTGTTACCACCACTGTTGTTACTGCTCAATCGAGTAACTTGTTTGGCAAGTCTGCTTATTCTCTACGCAGCCTAACATCACTGCTTTGTTTTGAAGTGACTTAATTCGTTATTAACTTGATGTCACCCATAGGGACCAGTGTTACCAATGCCTCCACTAGTCAGCCAAATCTAGTCTTCGGCAAGTACTTCACATGAATGACCAATCTATTTTCTCGATTTTTTGGCCACTCATATTTGATAGACAATTTATTTGCTTACTTGATTTTAGGAACCACCGTTACGACAACGGCACCCGCTACCTCACCGACTCAAGTTTTTGGTGAGTCTATCCTGAGCTTGAATACTTGATGACGCTAATACACCAAATGGTCATCACTGCCTAATACCATGGCCCTTTCATTCATCCGTAGGAAGTGGCGTTGCTGCGACTGTAAATAGTCAACCAAGTCTAGGATTTGGTAAGTGCCTTCCTACTTCTACCTAAAGGTAGTCCTTTCTGACGGAAACCTGATAGTGGTTCGTAACCGTTCTACAGACCAATCGTCACCCACCACTACAACACCTCAAGCAGTTGCGGGACTCTTCGGTATGTTTTTCAACTTTCTGTTCTTTGGTAATCAATCCTTGACATTCTGATGAACCACTTGGTGATTCTGGCCCTCCGAACCCAATGCCATTAGACAAAGGATAAAATAACAACTGCCATATGAAATGTCACCTCAAGATTGAATAAACAAGTGATTACCATTCTGTCTGTCTTAACCGCTCACCAAAATGGAGACTTATCTCGTGGGTAAGAGTGTCTGTTGGATTGACCAGAAAATTGCATATTTTACCGTCAACGTGAAGTTCGGTTCGAAGGTTAGCCACCGCTCGTTATCAAAACTCCCGCTAATGATTTGATTGGTGACTCGATTTAGTGCCAATGGTTCATCAGCCTTCATTGTTAAACTCAAGTATTATGGCTTTGGACGGTGAATGTTTCCCTGAGTAAAGCCGATGGCTGTTGTCATTCGAGTCGATTTAGTGTTATTTGTCAGTCATTATTATTAGTTCACCTCCTTAATGTGTGTGTGTGTGTGTGTCTGTCCGAGCTACTCGACAACATTTGACGTCCATTTTGTGCATAGTCTCTGTCAATTACTGATTCTTAATGATGCTAAAGCATTTGGCGCTTTAGACTCATCTGCTTCAAAACCTGACAAAGGTAAAGGAGGAGCGTTTGGTGAGCAGAAGCGTTGTATTAGTTGTGGACGCATTTATACTTCAATCAAGCACACAACCGTTGGAAGACTTCCGATCTCATTCCCCTACTCCAATCCCATGCGACGATTTAGTAATTTTTGACAGTCGGTTTTTCACTGCTCATAAATCATTTGATTTTAGGTCAGTTAACCTCTCCTGCTTCCAGTCCTGCTGGTGGTTTATTTGGTGAGTTAGCGCTTGTCGGGAGACTGTGCGCCATTTTTCGAGAAATGACTATGTGGGAAACCATTTTTTTTTAATTTTTAGGCCAACCTGCTACCCCTCCTTCGACTCAAGCTGGTGGTTTATTCGGTGAGTTCAAACTTGCCCATTGATTGGTCACAGCTTCTCGAGAACTGATACTACAACAACCAACTTGTTAATTGTTAGGCCAAACCAGTAGTCTCCCTTCGACCCAGGCAGGTGGTTTGTTTGGTGAGTTAACACTTGTTGGTAGAGTATGATTCGAGTTGCGACAACTTGTTTTAAGGAATAACATCATAATTTGTTTAAGGTCAGTCTCCTGCTTCTTCCACTGCTCAAACTGGAAATTTATTTGGTGGGTGAAGGCTTAATTGCTAACTTACAGATGATTGCTCAAGTTCCAATTATAGCAATTGTTTTCTAATTTCAGCTCAATCGGGTCCCACCGGAGGAGGTTTGTTTGGTAAGTTGTTAATAATGAAATGCTCTTCCTCTCTCTCTCCAAATGGACATTCTTCATGGCATTTGGCACTCCTCTAGGATCATCAACGATCACCACTACAAGTCAGTCCACTGGCTTATTTGGTACGGTCACAACTCTCTTATCGCTTATTTATCGAAATTCTCCCAATGAAATTGGACTTCGTTCCATCTAGGTCAGTCTCCCGTCACTACGCCTAGTCAGTCGGGTGCATTATTTGGTACGTCCATCCGTCTACTTCTGCCTGTATATCCATTTACTTATCGTTTGGTCGTCCATTACCGATGCTGTGGCGGTAATTACGCCACATCGGAGGGTGGATTGTTGGATTGTTGTTGTTTTTCTTTGGTGGAAGCAGCATTCGATATGTTGCCTCATTATTTGGCACCTCTTTCCGTTTTCTACCATCTTTACAGGCCAACCAATCAGTGCTAAGCCTGGAGGTGTATTCGGTAACCGTTTGATTTCTTTTGTCGTTAATGTAGTGGTCATATTCCGCAAGTACCAATCTCATTGTCATTTTAGGTCAATCTCCTCCTCAGAGTGGAAGTTTATTCGGTAGGCAAAGGATATGGGCATTCTGTTTAGTTATTTAATAATTGAATTTCACTATCTACTGTGGATATCATAACGATAAGCATTGTCGACTGCTCCTCTAATAAGTTGGTAACTCGGATTGCTCCTCTGTCTATGCTGTAAGGGTTTGTTTCTAAATTTGGTGTTCCTTTGTAGGCCAACCAACATCTGGCACTGCAGCTCCCACTGGTGGACTATTTGGTAAGTAATAAAAGGTGAAAAGAATGACAACCGCTTTTGGCGTAGCGTACTTTGGATTATTAAAGGAATGCCTATTTCTGTCTATTGTTCTTTTAGGCCAAACTCCATCTGGTCTGGCTTCCCCAACCGGTGGACTGTTTGGTTTGTTATTGTTCATCTTTGTCTTTTCTAATTAACTTCTGATTTTTTGATGCCAGTCAACTTTTTTTCGTCGTCTTAGGTGCGTCACCTGATAGTGCTACAGCTGCACCCACCGGGTTGTTTGGTAAATGATCCTAATCCGCTCTTAATGCGGCTCTTGAAACTCTTGTTTTTGATGGGGA